AACACCACTAGCACTGCTTTGTTGCATGTGTGCAGAATTCCCAGGTTTTGCAGGTCAGCTTTCCAACAGAAAGAACAAACCTCTCCTGTAGCTCTCAAATCTCTTTCCACCCACAACCTGCCCCTACACAGAAACTTGCTTAACCCGAACCCAATGCTAACACAGAAAATCTTCTTCAGCAAAAACTTGCTTACACTCTTAAAAAAAAACCTTGGATGAGTATGTATAACACCACCTGGGATGTCTGCTATAATTTACTGTAAAACTGAACCCAGTTTATTAATGTCAGCATATCAAAACCCGATCCCTGTACCTATAGAAAAACGAGCAAGCTGTGCAACATTTGGATCCTAAACTTAAGTGTTGCTCTTCTCTTCTTCGCTTCATCTCCTTCTCTGAACTCCCTCTAGTGTTGTCAGATATATGCTGCACTTATTGTCCTGTGGTGCATTTTGTTTTAACTAAGCTCAACAGGAAGGTGTAAAATCTATCAAACCAGTTAGCTTCTAAGATGCAACCCTGCCCAGCCTTCTGCCTGACTTCAGATGAGAACAGCTAGCTACCTTCCTCTGTTGCAGTTGATGGGAATTTTGCCATTGGCTTCCATGGCAATAGAGTAGTACATATGGACACTGATGGTTTATAATGCTGACCTGGGCAGCTGAGGATGCTTGCCCTAATGCAATTAATAATCACTGATATTGTGCTATCACACTGTAAACTCCAGGGGCTCCTCCAGATGAGTGAGCATGTGCCTGTTGCGGTGCCTCAAAGCAGTTTGAGATGCCACAAGAGGCACACTAAGAACAGAAAAATGTTCCCTGCGCTGCATATTAGCAGCACAGGCTCTCAATTTGATACCTGAAATCCTGGTATCAAAAAAAACATGCTGGAAAAAGTGGTGCAAAACCTGAAGGATCTAGAGGCTGGGGTAGCACTAGGTAAAGAACAGGATTAATAGTCATTCAGTAAATCACTGACTTTGTCCTCGTTTTTCTCTCCTAAGAGCTGATAGTAAAATGCACTCCGCTGCGTTCTGCCACGTTCTACCCGGCACCGAGTACTCGCCCGTTCCCGTCAGGTGACTCCACTCATGGGCACCAAACCTGGGAATGCAGCAGCAAGGTGGCTCCAGAAGTATCCCCTGTAGCTGCTTAAAGGCTGCATAAGGCAATTTGGAGAGTGCCCAGAGGTAGTGCCCCTGCAGGAGCTCTGCCGCGTTTCTGGGTTTGGTGCAGGCAAACTGGAGTGGATAGGCATGGCGTACTTGAGAGCACCTGTTCTTGGGAATGCTGGAGCAGAGTGTAGACATAGCCAGATAATCCTGCTCCCACGGCAGCTGGTGCAGGCCAGGTCAATTATTTCAGATCACAAGGGCAACAGTGCGATTTCTCAGAGAAACCTGTGAAGTGTTTATCCTGCAAATGGAAGAGCATGTAGTAATGCTCCACCTGGTAGTAATGCAGACCTCTGTCCTGCTTCATAGGCTGACTGGAGATGTAGAAGTGTCATCCTTCATAGGAGGTATCTGTGATCTTTATAAAGCCCACTTTCTGTGGGGACCGTTCTAGCCAGGGGCCTACCCAGTTCCCACAGACAGGTAGTAATGTAGTCCCTTGTGATTCCAGCTGGGTAGAGATCATTCTTTCCAGACTCATCTAACCTCCCAGATAAAGGAGTTTAGAGATGCCTATAAACTTCTGTAGAGGCTAGCTGCACAGTGCTGGGCAGCAGTGACCTGACTTCATTGCTAGGAGGAGTGATTATTGCTGTGTGCCTTTTAAGTAGGCGGCCTGAGCTTCTGGGTTGCTGAACATCCCCAACTCCTATTGAGATGAACTCGGTGCCTTTTAAAATCAGGCCACTTTATTTAGGTCCCAAATGTGGACTTTGGAGTCCAATCCAAGGCAGGGTCTAATATGCAGGGGCCCTGACATGGAGTTTGTGGGTGGTGCTGCTTTAGAAAAAGTGATGGTAATCATAGGATGTCATATTTAAGCATCCCCACTAAAGTACCATGGTGCCACTGCCTTGACACAGGTCATGTAAGGCCACAACATTGGCTGCAAGCCCAGTCAGAGAAGGCTAAGTCCCTTTATAACTTGCTTTCTGAGTGGTATCAGGAAAAGAGTGAAATGGAGGGCAGGCAGGGCATCCAGCTTGCTGCCAGGTCTTGCTGGCTCTGGGACCTGGCAGCCCAGGTGATGCTGAGAGTTGAGTTCACCCCATCATGGTGTGTGCCAGGCCACGAGGGAGGCAGGGGAGGTAACCTTGCTTATATGTATGTGAGTTTAAAGGCAACACAAGAGAGACATTGAATTCACAAAGATTCTGCGAGCCTATCAGCTCAAAGACTTATTGTGGCAACCAGCTAGGGTCCAAAGAGATGGGACATGCCACTTGTCCTTTGTTGCTGTGGATTGTCTTCCCTGTACTCCTTGCTACCCCCCAAAGTTTACCTGTGGCATGGGAGAGTTTGGCACCTCTGCACAGAGTTCAGGGCAGGGACAAACAGGATTACATCAGGGTATAAAGGAAGCCCAGCTGGATTTCCTTTACTACCTCATCTTACAGCAAAGTCACAGAGGGCTTTGGGGTGAAACAGTCGCCTCAGCCCCTGCAGTGCCTCTAGGTCCTGCACTTGGGGAAGCATGGAGGGTGTATTTATGGGAGCCCTAGGAAAGAAGCTCTTTACACTTTACCCTGCTTGTGCAGTGAACAGGTGGCCCTACATTTGAAATCTGTGAGAGATTTAACGCCTCTATAAATATTTATGAATGGGGTAAAGTGTATTTATCAAGTTCCCACTTGCCTAGCTCCAAAAATACAGCTGTAAATCACTTTATTTTCATCAGCTCTTCCAAAGTCCTTAGTCCTACTTCCCAGGTCCAGAACTGCCTGTAGAACTAGGCAAGCCTGAAAAATGGAGGAGCAAGAGGTCTTCAGTGGGATGGTACTTGCTGCCTGCTATACAGATTAGGTAAATGCTGGTCTACACTAATCATTCCTGATGGTACTGTAATATTAATTAGGGGTAGGATTTTGGTGGCGTTTCTCTGCAGGCCAAAACTCTGGCGTGGACACAGCTATACTGGGACAACTTATTTTGTTTGGGGAACTGGTTTGAGCTATACAAGGAGGTATAGCTGTAAGTAATGGTAAGGCTATACCACTACTGTTTTCTGTGCCTTCAAACCTTTTCTGGTACACTGGAACCCAGATCCTGTACAGGACTAGGTTCTCTAGCCCTCAGAAGGATGATAGTTTGGAAACCAACTGGGTGCTATCCATAGCCATGTCAGACAGTGTATGGGACTGCTGAGTAGGACAGCTGCTTCTCCAGTCAGCTGAGTGGGACACTGGTGAGCTGCAGCTGAGTGAAGAAGCAGTGCCCTTGGAAGTAAGAGCTGCAGCAAACAACAGGTCTTGTTCTTTATGGCTAAGTAGAGACAGTTAAAAAGCCCGAAGTTGAATTGACTGAGTCTTTACAGGTTAGTCTAAACTGTAGAGATAAACTGAGAAACAATTGGACAGACATTCAATTTTGATTCAGGAAATGCAGCCACATGCCTGCAGTGGCTCAGGCCAGAAACCAGGAGGTGCTACAGCACGGCTCTCTGGCACGTAGCCAGCATGAGCTGTGAGTTCACTTCCTCTTCCTGCTGGCCCCAAGGTCTCTGGGATTTGCAGTCCAGAATTACAGTAGAAGGACTCTGCAGGGTTGCTCATCACCTCCTCTTCCTGCTTCTAGGTGTCTCTGGGATTTGTAGTCCACAGTTGCAGCCAGCAGTAAGTTTTTGGCAGGGCAGGGCAGGTGACCGGTATTCTACTGTATAGATCTGCCCCGAATCATTGGCCCCTCCCCTTCAAGAATGAGAAATAGGAGCTGGCGTCCAGCCTGGACATTAAATGCCCTATTTGGGCATGGTTGAGTGTGGAGGATCAGCTCCTCTATTTCACAACCCAACGGAGAGCACAGGCTGGAGCAGCATCAGTGTCTCCTGCAGTCCTGCTTCCCTTCGGCTCTGATCCAAACAGCCTGCTTCTCTAGCGGGGCTATTGCATCTCTCTGCCCCTTCAGCCCTTTGTCACTGTCCTGAAACTCCCAGTGAGGCGGCCAGTAATATCAGTGAAAAAGTGAACCCTGAGTTGTAAAGAGACGTGTTATCTAGCTGACCAGAGCTCCTGGTGAGAGGGCTGAGCAAGCTGTTGGGAGAAAAATTCATAGTTTAAAGATCTAACACCCCAGTGCCTCTCACCATGGCCTGGGGAAGCTCCTCTCCCACTTTCAGGCCCCACAGCGGGAAACCTAGGATTTCAGGCTGTTATATCCTGGCTTTCCTAAGGTAAAAAAAAAAAAGAGCCATAAAATCCTCCTTTAGAACAAAACCAAAAAGCCTTTTCAGCTTCTTCCTTTGTACATTATAAAAGAGCAGAGGGAGGCACAAATCCTATTCTCTCTCTTTGTTCATCAGAAGAAGACTCGCTTGTGAAATAACTAAAATAAAAAGTGAAAGAATGAGCCCAGGGCAGGGACTTGCATATGTTGTCACAAGGCTATTTGGGATGAGTTAAAACTCCTCCATCTTCATATTACAGAGGTGCAGAGAGGCTGTGTTGTACAAATGCATGGGCAGGGGCAGTCCCTGCCCTGAGGAGTTTGCAGTCTGAGGCAGATGGATGGTGGGAGGACAAGCGGAGGTGAACTGCCTTGTCCAGGGCCACGCAGCAGTCCGTAGCCTTGATCCTACCAGCAGTGGCGGGGGGAAGTAATTGCATTTGGAATAACAAGCAGCGGTTGGCACAGGGAAGCACTGCTAGGGAGTCTCCCGGCTCCCCTGGTATTTACTGAACCTGCCGGGCTGCTGAGAGAAAGTGGGGACCTAGTGATGTGCAAATCACTTGAGTAAGATGGCCAAGCAGGAACGTCACCTGGTCCCTGTATTAAGCACCTGGTGATCTACAGCCACCAACAAACAGCCTGTTCTCTGCTTGCTTAGGGGGCCACGAGCTGGAACAGATGCAGCTTATTCTGGAGACGATCCCCGTCATCCGTGAGGAGGACAAAGAGGAGCTGCTCAAGGTGATGCCCAATTTCATCAACAGCACCTGGGAGGTGAAGAAGCCTTTGCGTAAGCTGCTCCCTGAAGTGAACAGCGAAGGTACCGTGACTTTAAGTTCTACTTTGGGACCACGCTTGTGAGGAGGGTTTGCTTATCTGAGGAGCAAAAGGGATCCACCTCCAATTGCAAAGGGACTTCCAGAGGGTGTGGAGGGAAGAAGCTTGCGTCTCATAGCTCACGTCCGCACATCTTCTATTATTGCCCCATTCCTGATCATTTCCTTTACTCCCTCTCAGCTGGTGGGAGTGACAGGGTGTGTTTGACCCTGGTGTAGTGCTGTACTACTGCTGCATAATGCCCCTGGAATGATCAAGTGCCTTATGATTTTTAGTGCTTTGCATACGTATAACACGCTGACAAGGCACTTCACACTCCCTCCAGTGACAGGTCAGCAGCAGGTATACCTGCCTGGTCTGGAGCAGCGATCCAGGAATTAACTGAGCGATTGTCTCCGCGCTGCATTAATTGCCTTGCTTCTCTCCTATTTGGGAAAATGTATTCGTGCAGAATTAGGGAATAAGTCATTTCTCCCCATAACTATCTGAGATATCTCCCTGTATGGGCTAGAATCCTGCAACGCTCTGTCTTTTTAGTGGGAGAGGCAGAGCATGCCTTCAGGGCCTCATGGCCTGGCATGACTCCTGGGAGCGCTTCAGCCCCTTCCAGCACAATCATTGCCTTCCTGAGTGAAGGCTACAAAATATTTCTGTCTTGGAGCCTGAGGCCTGCAAATAATGGGCTTCAGGACCCGTGGCTTCAGCTTCTGCACTGGCCCTGGGAGCAGCAGCAAAACTGGTAAGAGACGGCAGGATAGCTTCAGGAGCATCGGCATAGCACAGCATGCCACGGCGGCCTCTGTGCCTCTGAATACTATGTAACATGCTCTTTGTGTTTCTGCTTTTCCCTGGGTTGGCCCCAAACCCCTGCTTGGCCAAGCCTGCTGTGTGGAGCGTCCTTTGCATGTTTGCTTTGCTCTGACTGCTGTATTGTCAGTGTGGCTGATGCTGTGTGCACCGGCTCTGCAAGGAAGAATTTGCTTTGATAGGGGTAAAGTGGCAAAACTGAATGTGTAAACCAGCATGACTCTACAAAGTACTCCATTATCTGTCTGTATCAGCAGTGGTAGCCATCAGCCTTCTTTATCCAGAGTCCAGGTCAGTCATGAAATACTGAGCAGATCATTATTATGGGAAGGAAGGTCATCTGCAATGCTTACATAGTTCATTGAGAGTTTCCTGTTTAAACGACCTGAACGATGGATGTACTATTGTGCAGTGGTCCTTGTTGGAAGCCAATGACCTTCTGAAACTATTGATTCCTTCATAATTAATTAACCCAAACAATGAAATAATCCAATGAGAGACAAACATGCCTTGGTTAATATTTAAGCACTGATGCCACAGGTATCAGCGTTCCCTTCCACTGACTTCCTCTGAAGTGTTAAACCTTCTTGTTAGAGCACAAAGAAGTAGCTGGATCAATTTCCATATGAATTGGAGTACTGTATTATTAAAGGTCCAGTAAATGAATACTTCCTGGATTTTAGTATAAAGAAGATCTGACCAGAAAAATAAGGTATGTCCCTATTTTGATTGCCTGGCATTTACAGGACTGTTCTGTAGACATGAGAATGCTCAGAATAAACCAGATATCCCTAATAGGGATCAATGTTTTCACCTTTCCCATGTGAAAGGAAGTGTTGAGTTGGAAACATCACAAAGAATCCTAGACTGCCATTTTTATTTTATAGACATTTTAATTGCACCATAGCTGCTCTTTAATCATAGGTATTTATGTGGGTTTAAGGAGCTCGTGCTTGTAGTTTCCAGAACAACTTTAGGAATACAGAGGTTTTGAAATGTTAACCTGTGGAATAACTTCATGGTACTAATCGACCCAGGCACTTTAAAGACTTTACTGTTAATGTAATTCCATCCCAAGTGCACATGAAAGTTTTAAATCAGTTTCTGGATGTCCCTGTGGTACCTGTAAGAAGCTGTGCCTGTAAAATGGATTTGAAAGCATGGAACTGAACCCTGTAACACATCCAAATTCAGCAAGTCCTGCTGTTATCCCTACTTCAAGGCACTGAATTATAGAACATGGTGACAAACTACTCCAATCACCCATAAATCAAATGGAAAGAAGCCCATTGTCTTGTATGAGCAGTGAACCAACACCCCAGTGTTGTGCATTCTGGTTGTGGATCAGAGCCTTGACTATTTATAACATTTGCTCTCAGGGGTATAGCACCGTCTCTGTCACTTCTGCAGTTTTTGTTAACTGATACAGGAATGCTCCAATGCATGAGCATAAGTCCCAGGAGGGGTAAGATTGATGCGTGGGCATCAAGGACAAGTGAGGCTCTGCATTTGATGTACGTGGGTCATAAGCTTTGATTCCTTTCATATTTTAATGATGATTAATATCAAGCAGATGTGTTGTTGTGGACTCATGGGACCATTCCTCTGCTAGTAACACCTACTTTGCTTTTGGGTAATTAATGAACCTGTTTCCCTGCAATCCACAGCTATTGACTTTCTGGAGAAGATACTGACATTTAACCCCATGGATCGATTAACAGCAGAAATGGGTCTACAGCATCCTTACATGAGCCCCTATTCCTGCCCAGAGGATGAACCAGTTTCACAGCATCCATTCCGGATTGAGGATGAGATCGATGATATCTTACTGATGGAAGCCAACCAGAGCCAGATGTCAAACTGGCACAGGTGCAGTATTTGTGGCTTACAAGGCTAGACACAATCATGCACTCTTCTAGGGCAAAACTGTTGACTTGAACTGTATTGCTGTGACCTCTTTTTATGATGCAGTAATACATTCTGCAAAACAAATGAGATGATTATTTATTTAACCTGATCATCTAACTCAACTACCAATGATTTCCAATGAGATCCAGTTTTGACTTAACCTATGTTATTAATTGCACTCTTTTCTGCTCTTATTTATACTATCAGTGTCATTGACTCCAGCTGATTTGCCTCTCTTTAAGTGACTTCTTTTCTACTTTCTATCATTGACCCCAGTGCTACTTATTCTAGCACACTTTGGGGCCAGGTCTAATGTCATCTTTCAAGGGGCATAAACCTCATATGGGGCTACAGATAGTGGGTCTGTTGATGCCTTCTGTGCTGAGGGGAAAGGTTGAAAGGCTGATCTGCTACAGAACAACATACCCCAGTTTTGTGGGTATAAAACGTGGAACCCCTCCCTACCTCTTGGTGTATTCACCTAGCTGGGAGCCCATCAGTGGATCCAGGCTCCCAGCTGCAAGGGCACATGGCAATTAACTGGTTAATCACATCTTAAGTGTAATGTATGGCAGGGACCTTGGAAACACCCATGTATGGATCCTGCCACTGCTCAGCAGACTTGCATTGTGGTCAGTTTTACTGCTGCTGCTACAAGTGATGAACCTGGTGATACCAAGTGTACTGAACAGTTGCCAGTAATCTCCCAGGGTTTGTGACTTTAATTTTAGGTAGGGCTTCCCTGGTTTTCAGGTTCAAGGTCTAGGCCAGGGCTCCTAAACTCTCTGCCATAGTGGCTGTTCTGGAGCCATGGACTCTCAAAGTGCTGGGAGTCAATCCCATGGACACTCCAGTGTGTCTCAGAGCTGGAGACCGCTGCACTGGGGCTGTCTGTAGACATTTATGAGGAGATATTTCAGGCTTTGGGCTGAATGAATGAGCATTTCCACTTGCCAGAAATGAGGTGAAGGAATCTGGGCCTTTCTAAAGGGACATGGTTTCTAAGAAACTAAAAGTTCCCAATTCGCTCATCAGGCAGAACCACATATATTAAGGGTGTGTGAATCATAGAGTTATTTTCTATTCAGTGTCCAGCAAGAAGCTACTTATACTCATAAAGCACTGTGTGAAGTTTCTAGGCAAATGATGCCTTTAATTTAGCTGTTGTATTATTCAGGAAATATTGAGCTAGAGTAGGGTGGTTGTTACTTCTGAAATCAGCCCTGGTCTGACATGTGCTAGAATACTGTGTCCATTAGGGGTGTCCACAATACGAAAAGGTTGTGGCTGCCAGCCAGGCTGTGCGCAGGAGAATCACCACTGCTGCAGCCCTGGAGGGCCCCCAGGACCCCAGGTAAGGCTGCTGGGGTCCGGCACAATGCTGGCCCCAGCCTCCCCTGCCACCCCCAGGGTAACTTGCCGCGCGCCAAAGCATGCATGGCACGGGCATTCCCTGGGGGCACGTAGTGGCAGTGCAAGGTGCATTGTTGCTGTTTGTCCCTGAGGAACCAAATGCCCATGCTCATGTGGACACAGCCAAGGAGCTCAATCTGTTTAGCTTAACAAAGGGTGCATTAGTATCACAATGACTGAAGCTCATGTGAGATAGGTACTGTTTTGTATTGGTAGCTGCATGGCTGGCACTGTGTGTAGGCTAGCCATCTAGTATTTACCTCAGTGCTGTCATGATTGTGCTGCTCCTCAGTACCGCATTTAGCTAGTTTAAAGCTAGCTTTGGTTGGTCTGTATGAACTACAGAGAGTGCAGTGAAGATGTATTCAAGGAGAAGGTTAAAAGTGGTGAGTTCTTTGCAGTCTATTAAGTATCTACATGGGAATAGAAGTTTGAAAGTGACCTCTTCGGTCTATAACAAGATCTGATGGCTGGAAATGGAAGCTAGACAAATTCAGGTGCAAACCAAAGTGCAATTTAACAGCAAGTGTAATCCACCTTTGAAGCAGCCTCTCAAGGGCTGCAACGGACTCCAGTGGTGAAAACTTTTTAATCAAAATTGGATGCTGTATCATTCAAATGGGAATTAATTCAGGGAAGTCTATGTCCTGGGTTAAACAGGATGCCACACTGGGTGATCCCAGTGGTCCTACAGTCGTTTCATAGGACGCATCTACACATCGCCATATGTCGACATTGCTATGGCACCGTGCTTTAATACTTCCTTTTGGAAGTCCTAAAGTACAGTGCAGTAACCGCCTGTGCTGCGCCATGTGTGCGGCGCATGGTTAGATTTTACTACTATGTTGCTGTAGCAGCACGCTAAAACGGGGGCGGGGGGTGCCACTATGGTGACCTCGCTGCCAATCACATGTAGACCCATGTGATTGCTACATCACTGTAGTGCACCATATGGTGATGTAGGGCAACGTGTAGATACACCCATCATGTATGAATGTCAGCCAGCAACAAAATTGTCTCTAAAGTTGTTTTCTTCCAGAAGGCACAGACTTGAGATAGCTGCTGCCAGTCCATTTTAAGACAGCCTAGCCATAGTTTGGGAATACTTTATAAAAATATTAAGACATATAAGAGTTATGATAGGTAATTTGGTTTAGGTCTTCTGATTCGCATAGAGAAAGGGCTTACTCTGTTTTGTAGTTAGGATGTAATCTTCTCAGTTTCTGGGTGATAGTTCCATTCAGTATTCTCATGCATTATTTAGCTCTCTATATTTTACTACAATTACAGTTAGCAGGGGTTAAACACGGTCTCTTTTAATCTTGAAGATGGGCCTGTCCAGAAGGCAAGGGTAGAGTTCAAGTAAGCCATAGGCCCCTATTTCCACTTCCCTTCAGTGCTCCTACCATATCAGAGGTGAGGCCCATTGGCAGAAGGCAGCTTTGGTAAGCCTGCAGTACTGTTGCCTGTCACATAGCTGTGCAGGAGCTAAATCTCTGGACCTGTCAATTCACTGCACTGCACCTGCACTCAAAACTAATAATTTAAGAAATCCTTTGTTCAAAGTTATTGCTCTCTCTCTCTCTCTCTCTTTCTCTCCTTGTCTGCATGAACAAGTATCTGGGGTGAAGCTGGCTAAATTAAGTAAATTTGAAAGCCCCACTAATCATGCTTTCAGGGTAAATCTGCCTGTCATAGGTCCTTTCCCCTTATGGTCACTGAAGCAGCAAATCAGTATCTCAAGGTCACTTTGTCACTCCTTTATCCCTTGGCTTTTATGCTTCCTGATATGACACACACTGAACAGTAGCCATGACTTAATTCTTTCACCTAAGTGATATAAAACCAGTATATATTATAGCACAAGGCCAAGGTTTTCTCAAGTGACTGGTGATTTTTGGTTGCCCAAATGTGGATCATCTTAAAGGAATCTGACTGCCAGAAAGTGCAGAGCACCCAACCCCTACAAAATGAGTATTTTAAAGGTGTTTCAAACTAGGCACCTGACCACTAGTTGCTTTTGAAAATGTTTGTCCAAGAATCTGATGTTTCAAGTGAAGGCAGTTTGATCAATAGCTACATGAAGGGACTGAAAATTGGTTTCTATTTGGTTTCTCTTTCTAGCTTTGCCTCTAGTTTCTGGGAAATTATTTAAACAGTCTACCTTTGTATTTCATGGGAATTTATCAAGCTCTGATTAATTGTTACTTGTAAAGCACTTTGAGATCTTTAGATAAAAGGAAATGTAGCAACATAAAGGTGAAAATAGCAGCAGTAATAGCACTAATATCTGCCTTAGCCTCTGCTCTTACTGAGGATCGGAGCCATCAGTTGTCTGTCTACCAACAGAACGCAGTAGGGTGGGAATGGTAGTGTTGGTTACTAACAAGTGTGTCTTTTATAGGTACCAAGTAAGTCTCTCTTCTGATTTGGAATGGCGACATGATAAATACCATGACATGGATGAGGTACAACGAGACCCAAGAGCAGGATCTGACTCGCTTGCCGAAGAAGCACAAGTTGATCCACGCAAATATTCTCAAAGCAGCTCAGAGAGGTTCTTAGAACTATCACATTCGTCGATGGACCGGGTGTTTGATGTAGATTATGGAAGATCATGTGATTACAAAGTAGGGTCACCTTCCTACTTGGACAAACTGCTGTGGAGGGACAATAAGCCCCATCACTACTCAGAGCCCAAACTGATCTTAGATTTATCCCACTGGAAAAAAGCAACTATAACACCCGCAACAGAGTTAGCACTGGAAGAAGAACCATCCAACCTCTTTCTAGAGATAGCTCAGTGGGTGAAGAGCACTCAAGCAGGGCTCGAGTGCCCCAGTCCTCTTCCAGAGATGCAAGAACGCAGTCTGCCACCTTCTCCTCACCATCACCATAAAGAACCTAAGGAGGTAAAGAGTGAAACAGACCCTCAGTTTGATTTGGATGTCTTTATCTCTAGGGCACTGAAACTTTGCACCAAGCCTGAGGACCTCCCAGACAACAAGCTCAATGACATCAATGGAGCTTGTATTTCAGAACATCCTAATGAGATTGTGCAAACAGAGGTGTTTCAAAAGGAAAGGTGGTAAAGAATCAGTCTCAAATTCACTGCTAAACTATTTTGTAAGGCTTTGATAACATATCTGCTACCCAGTGCTGAACAGTAATTACAGTTTGATTGGTCACTGAACATCAGTTTCTTACAGTATACTGAATGCCTTTTTTATGAAAAGGCGAGCACAAAACACAACCGCCTTTTGATGCCTTAGAAATACACTAAAAGGAATCAAGAGGTGTGAATGAAATACTGAGTTTCTTATGCTGCCTTAACAATCTTGCCTTGTAATCTCTGGGACCAGTTTGGAACTTAAATGTACAAAACAGAGATGACTGTACATCATTATAAATTTACAAACAGAGGTCAACTCAACTTCCTTTTTTTATATAGTATCCTAAAATAATAAGGATGAAAGGAGACTTTATTATTGCTGGATACGCCCCTTGTTCGGCAAATTCAAAATAGGCTGAACCAGGGGATTTCTTTAATGAAATCATCTGAATATTGTCTGTATATAGCGGAGTAAGGTCAAGGGGTACCTTTTAACTGATTATTCCTCTGACCAAATTCTGCCCTAAATTGTTTAAAGAAAAAGAACTGTTACATCCTTGTAATCCATTGGCAGATTTTGTCCATCAGTCTTGAAAACACGTCTGCATGAATGTTTGTACGGAGAAAAATATTGGTTAACAACATGTGGGCAATCTTTTTTTCTCTGTTGGAAACCAGAATTTTAACTAACAAGCACGTTTCTTGAATCTGGTTCCTCATATTTACAAGTCTTTCCTTCTGTGATTCACATGTGGATCAGAAATCCTACAAGACTGATGCCTTATCTGTGGTAGGTGGATTAAAAAAAGATAATACAGTGAAACCTGTCTTAAGCAACTGCCCCCAGGACCAGCAAATATCAGCAGTGTTGTTTTGGCAGGAGAAGAGTACTAGGAGGTGGGGAATCCACAGTTATAATCTTAATTATAGCATCTGCTGGCTATGTAACCGTAGGCAGTTCACTTCTCCACTATAGGTTCTCCATCTGCAACACAGATATAATAATACTTACCTTACTTGCACAAATACTGTGAGACTGAATGAGTTAAAGCTTGAGCAGTGCTTTCAGCAGCCAAAGCACTGGTTCAGTGCAAAATTTTGATACCCGTTCACCTAACAGAAATGGCTGGTCTTGGGCTAAAACAAAGCCACATTAGAACAATTTTAGATACATTCAAATACTGGCTTAAACTAATGGGTTGGCTATTGAAAATGGTCCTTTGTGCAGACTGTACAGCAGGAACATGCTTGAGAAACTTGTCTCCTAACTTTTGGTCTGGTAGCATTAGATTTTTACACTAGCAAAATTCCCAATTGGCCATAATCGCATTTGAAGAAACACTCAGATGTCTCCAAAGTTCTTTGCTTTCAGCTTCCCTGGCAGGTAATTTTATCAAGAAAGTAACTTTGTAAATAAATATAAACATGGCTGATCTACTGCAAGTTCTATTTTCATCCACACTTCCTAGCACCTTAATAATTAATCTGCTAACTAGAGTTTGTATATCAAAGAGATGTTATATTTAATCAACCTGATCAATTTTTTTAAAAAAATTGAAAACATGTAAATAGTTAAGTGTCTGCAAAAGAAACATGCATTTATTGTCATTGTGCCATTTTGTTCTTTAGCATGATGACATTACTTTTATTTGTAAAAGGTACACGACTGTATTTACTAACTCAAAGGTTCCTATTTCACTGCTATCACGTGCAAATTATTTCTACCTTTAAAAAAAAAAAAGATAGTCTATTAATTATTAAGAGATGCAAAAGAAAATCTTTTGAGAGTTAGGTGAAAAACTAACAGCAGCATTTAATACTACTAACCAAGCTTTTTATTATGGTGGTATTAGGATTGCGATACAGGTTTAGCTTTAGAAGAACCTTTGCTACATGTTCAAGACCTGCTCAGCTTGCTTGTTCTTATTGTTAAGAGCTTACTGAACATAAGCTGCTTTAAATACCGTTACTCCAGTTGCTTAGTAGAGTAGGTGTTGAGGCTGCCGGCTGAATGGGTTGAGATGCAGGTGGAAGTCTCTGTTCAGTCAAGGTAAAAAAGGCATCTGGAAGGCAAGGAGAGCGATTCACTGAGACGTGTAAAATCCTTCCTGACAAAGAGCAGGGTGATGCACTGGTTCTGAGATTTGAGTGTTTGGATTTTCTACTTTTACACTAGATGCAATACCCTAAAAGGGGAAGGGAAGGAGAGCCAGGAAGAGCTCAGTTAAGGTGTGTTACAAATTAAATTAGCTATATACCTCAACAAAAGCTCAGCACTTTTACTCATGAGGTGCAAAATGCACTTGGAATAAGTGGATGCTTCTGCAGTGTGGCTGCACCAATGTATGTCAGATGAATTTGGGCCATTTGGTCTGGATGAATAAGCAAACTAATGATTCACTGCCCTTGTTCCTACCCACAGCTTATCTGTGTGCCCACCAGCAGTCCAGGAGATTCTGAGATAGGCCTGGCACGCGTCCCCTCCAGTCCTGTGGGGTGCAAAGTGTCCTCCGGTGCTAGTGAAGTCAGGAGTTGAGTGTGCAGGGCCTAGGAGGAAACATGCAAAGCTTGCAGCAGAAGGCCCCAAGTAAGACGAGAACATTTGGGGAGCGGAGGAGTATAACTAGACTGTAGGATAATGCAAGCTGCATGAAAACTAACCTTAAAAGATAGAGGCTGTCAGCAATTATTTACTACTGTTGGGCTAAGCAACAAGATTTACTGGCCTGAGAAGTTAATATTGATGAAAACCTGTCAGTATTTTTTTCAAGGGACAATAAATCTTCATGTTCACTGAAACAAAAACCTACTTCATATGTGAAGAAAAATGGGAGAATCTCTTTGCTTTGGCCATGAAAATGACATTTGTCCTTTGAAACTCCCCTTCCAGTGGGGAGATGGAGTTGAGGGCCAGAAATAAAAGCTGAATATTTATGTCACAAGAAGTAAATAACTGTTTTAATGGAGTTCTTTGCAGCTACTCAGGATTTACATTTCAATTTGTGATCTGATCAATTTAACAGCTTTCCAAATGTCAGTATTAATGACCTGTAATGGATAAACAATAGAAAACTCTAATTTGTCACACGATTGTTTTCAGCCAGTCACAAGCCAGGGTTTTTTCCCTGTATGTAACAATAATAAAATTTAAGGTCTGAGTCTTCCCTGATTTGACAACGTTTAGTTATTATTATTATTATTTATTGTGGTATGGTTTGAAATACATTACAGAACTTGGTTCTAAATTTATTCTGTAAATGTCATGAATACTACTGGAGGCTCTGACTTAATATTTCTGTAGCTTTCTTGGTTCAATGTGGTACACAGTCTGTTACAAGAAGTAAGAATCCCCTGATGCACAGAGATTTGCCTTTGGGTTATTTTGTGTTCTACAAAGGAGATATTGAAGCAGAACAATGTGCAGGTTCACAACTAGGTGTATTATTTGTACAAATAGTTTATTTCAGTAATTGCACATATGTGATTTCTATAGATTTGTTCTTCCTCTTCTTTTGAGTGAAAAAACAAACAAACCTAGGTTGTGGATTATTTGTGAAATGAGCCCTAACTTTATTAAACATGCATGCTGTGTTATTGACCCCCGAGTCACAAGACACCCTCTTGGCAACCCAAATGGAAGAAGGTCCCATACAGGCTGCATACCATACAAAGCCTTTGGTGCCACCCATTAATGACCAAGGTGAGGACAGGAGCTAAGTACAGACATTTGCAGGGGTTAGGGGGTGGTAGATCAGGTTAAAAATGGCCACCTGATCTAACTTAGTTTGCCCAGGGTCAGACCTTACACTTAGACCCCAGTGAGCACGTCTACACATGCCTCTTTTAAGTGGGTTTAGCCTAAAATTGCCATTTTTAAGGCACATTAAGGGCACGTGTCTACATGTGCATGCCCTTATTGCACCTTAAAAATGGCAGTTTATGGCTATGTGAACCTAAATTGGATACCTGCATGAAGCAAGTATCATATTTAAGCACGAATTGCCAAGTTGCATTAGCACACATGTAGATGTGCTAATGCCCATTAATGTGGTGTGCGTCAATGGATAGACACCGCTTTAAAGCACATTAGCACGTCTGTATGTGCAATAATGCAATTTAGCTATTTGCTAAATATTATTTATGTATATTATGTATACGTGTAGACATGCCCTGTGATGGAAAATCAGTCTAAATCCATAACTGTAAAGAAATTCTGTGCACACAGACCAGTCTACAAATGGTGGAACCCGGTCTAGGATTGACCTTGTTCAATATACCCTCAAACTTAATCAATCTATGTTAGTCGAGTGCATGGAACTTCAGTACAGCGACCTGTGCAGCCCCAGGGCTGGGAAAGCCCAGCAGCTCGCCCTATCCCCAGGCCTGCCCTTTTCCTACTTGCCCCCCTGGCACTGGGCTATTTTTAGTCCCTGTCCCTCACTCCCGCTCCACAGACCAGCCAGCCAGCCCCCCCAGCCCCCCCAAGCTCCCTATCCTGCAGGGGCTGCTCCGGGTGTTGGTTTTATCAGCATTTGCCACTGCTGGGAGCTGAGGAAGTAAGTAACGGTGGTGGGAAGGGCAGGAGGGTTGAGGGGATAGGTTCTCTGTGAAGGTCAGAGGTGCTAAAAATAGCCCTTGGTCCCACCCCCGCTTCCCAAGCTCCCCCACAGATCCTATGAGCCCTCCTAATCCTGCCAAACCCTCCTGGACCCCAGTAACCCCTTGCAGACCCAGCTTGCCACCTAATTGTTCCTGCAGATCCTGCAAACCCCTGATTTACCTCCTCCAGCCTGCTTGGCCCCTCATCCCCTAAATACTCTCCCTGCTAGGCCTACCTTAGTTTGAGCTACCATTTTTTAACATGATCTAACCTCCCCCTAAATCCCCCTGGATGTTTGCACTTAACCAGGGAGTCTTTCTTCCTTTATGTTTTGTTAAAGTTCTTTTGAATTGAATATTGTGTGTAGGTGTGCTTTTGTGTGTGTGTGTGGGTGGGTGGGGGGATTGACAGCTACAGCCCCTCTGTGTAAAATGGGGTGAGGCTGGGATGGGACATTGAGGGAGGGTAGAGGGATCTCCCCTGGGGTGAGAAGGGGTGTGGGGGTGAGTGGGCAGGAAAGGGGGAAATAGAAAGTGGTTTCTTATTCCTGGATGTAAATGGCAGTTAGGAATCCTGGTTGGGATTGTCTGGAGGGTTTTTAGACCGGAAAATGGTAGTTGAGGGGAGGGGGAGTTGGAGTTCCTGGGTTTTGGGTGGTGTTTGGGGACGTTCTCTCTTTGGGCTGTTTGTTTGTTTCAGGCTGCTCTGAGCCTTTTGGATAGGGCAGGATATAAATCTAATAAAGAAATACATTGTATTGGTTCCGGTCCCTGATTGGATGGGATAGTCTTCATAAATTATAAATTACTTCTGCTTCCCTCTTAAATTATATTTGTGTTACAGCAAATATTGTTTGGTCTAAATCCACAACAGAAAATTAGCTCCAGCCTTGCAGTGCTTAACTCTTTGGTGTCCTGTTGCCTTGGGGAATCCACAGTCCAAAGCCTGGAGTCTGTAGTCCAAAATCAGGGTGAAAACAAAGGACACAGACAGAAGTTACATTTGTTGTGCAATCAGCCCCTTGAAAGTGCTCTATAGCCATGCCCTGACAGCCCTGACTGCAGAGTCCTTTAGAAGTGCTTGATCCTGCGACAGCCTGAACCCTCATTAGATGAGGGTTCAGATAAAGGCACTCTAAATTAGAGCACTTTCGTTAACATCTGTAAGCGTGTGCTGGGATTGGAGCTGGACTGCATCAGTGCTATCCTCAGAATGGGAGAGGAGTTTCATTTGGGGTTTGCCCACCTGTGCTGGTGGGTAGGGGCATGGATTAGAGCTCCCTCAAGGTAGAGGGGACTCTAAGCTACCTGTCCCATTCTCCAGCACTGGCTGGGCATATCCCACACCAAACTCCCTCCTATTCTGAAGACAGCACCAGAGCTAGGAGGGGTTGGGGCAGACACGCAGCCACTCCAAATTGGAGCTTGATCCTCCAAGCCCCCCACACCCAACACTGAATATCTCTTAGGTCAGGGAGGATGCTGTAACTCATTCTGCGAAATGATAGGAGTTACAGTGGGGAGCTGCATGTCTGTCAACACCCTAAAAGTTGAAGTTTTCCAAGGGGTGCCTTGACTCTATGAAAGGGTGCCTAGAGTCTAAAAAGCTTTAGAACCACTGCTGTAGGGATTAAAGTTGATGGATTAGACCACTGATGATGATTTGTATCTTTTTATTTTAAGACAAAGCTCATTTGAGCAACTTCAAAGCACCAAAACCTTTTGTAATTTGGAGGCAGAGCTGCTAAAATCCGAGGTATGTGGGAGGAAGATAAGCAGAAAGATGTCCAGCCCTTCTTCTTCCATTTAAGTGACAAGCTCATAGAAATCAGAAAAAAATGAAGGTGGAAGGGACCTCAGGATGTCATCAAATGCAAGCTCCTGCTTAAGGCAGGATCATACCTGTCTAAACCATCCCAGACGTTCCTCTAACCTACACTTAAAAACTTCCAAGGCCAGAGACTCCATGACTTCTCTAGGTAGTCTCTTCCAGTACTTAACTGTTCCCACAGTTAGAAAAGTCTTCCCAATATTTGTTGTAAATCCCTACCCTTGGGTATGAACAAACATACCTTTGTAGTCACTTTAAAAGTGAATGGGGAACTGCTCCTTTGGAGTGCACAGCAGCTGTTATATGTGAACAATGCTGTAGTGGTACATGTGAACTAAATCTCTTGATCTTTGACCCTCCATGAAGCAGAATTGAAGCTGAAGCATTTTTGCTACACTTATATCTCTTCAGAATCACGTATACCACCTCACAGTTACATCATAATAGGTTACATCAGTATCCTTTGATAGTGATACGATTGTTACGTCTGTCTGTACCCCTTGTTGCTGATTCTTCTTGACTTGTCTCCTGTGGTCGTGGTGAAGAATTGATCACCACACTCTTCATAACATCTTTTTGTATTTGAAGACTCTTATTGAATTCCCTGCTCAGTCTTCTCTTCTCCAGGATAAATAATCCCAGTTCTTCCAAAACGTCCTCACAAAAGAAAGTCCCAAGGCAGGGCTCGTGTCAGAACCCTGCAGGTTCACAAAAGAGATGTTCCTGTACCTCTTTCACCGGTGGGGGTCTGATCCAGCAGATGTAGAACATACCAACCCCCTCAAAAAGCACAGCCAACCTACTTCTGTAGGTGGGGACAGTGATCTTCTTATACCCACTAGCCTAGTGTTCAGCCTGTGGCGGGTCAGTAGGGAGTGCTCCTGCATTGAGCCACCCACCTCACTGCGCCCGACCACCTTCCAGGCTCTGAGTGCCTCCTTGGGGGCACCCCACGTCTGGCTGACCCCCTTCCTGGAGCATATCTGCTAGCCTGGGGGTAGAACTGCCACCACCCAGGGATGGGCTTGATTCTGGCTCTGCACCCCCTGTGAAACACAGGCCTAGTAGCCCTCAAGGGTACTTGACTCACTTCAAGAACTTGGGGTGCTTCCCTTAGTCAGAAGCACAAGTAGTGGTCTCCCTTAGTCAGTCAAACCAAGGGGACCCCAAGGCATAATCTAGACCCACTCCCAGTAAGTCTCCCACACTAGGTACAAAGGAGAACTTTACTGGTTACAAGAAGTAGGGTTGGAATAGGGTATGGAGTTGTGTAGTATCAGAGAAATCCCATAGAGCAACCAGGGTGGCTGGGGTAGCCTTTGATCACACATCTGAGTTGCTGCAAGCTATGTATCTAGTTAGATCTCAGGTAGCTCACTCACAAGTATCATCCAGAGGCAGGTGGTAATTCCCTCTGGAGGTAGGTAGTTTCTTGATCATGAGGTTTTAGAGAGACCAAGTTTCAGATGGTCCAGCCCTTCTCTCTCTCTGAGTCATCCTCATGGCTGCTGCCCCCTCCTTCTTGGCAGTCCTTAACTTATATAGCCCTTATGACCTCATTTACCTGGTCCATGGAGGCCAGCACCTGTTGGCTGTCAGCCAGCCAATTTGAAATGCATCACTAGTTGCTGGGCAGACTGGCAATTCCTAGTTCCCCAGGGAGCCCAAGCCCCTCACCCAGGTATGTGATGCCAGTCACGTAGGCAGAGGGAGCAGGTTTCCTGCCTCCCTCAGGA